TTTTCTTCCAAGCCTTTTTTGGCCACGGTCATAAAAGACAAAGAATTCATCAATGGTTGAAGTGTTTTTGCTGGACGTATGAGAGAAGACAATGGTCCCCAAAATGCATTATCTTGCAATTCATTCACTCTTTTTGTGCGCCAATTTTTGTTCCGTTCATTGAACGCCTCAATGAGCGTTTGAAATCCCTGAATAGAGTGAATATCATCTGATATCTTTCTACCATAGTCCATCGTGGATCCTAGCAACTTAAACTTCTCGGAACAATCCTGCACGATATTTGTCAATTCTGAAATTCGATCCACCATACCTTTCTTGAATCTGTCGGTAGAGATCGTTGACGTATAATTCGTTACACTAGCGCATAACATTGTCACTTTCTCAGTCTTGTTCTTGATTTCTTCAAGAAACTCTATAGACACACTGCCTTCTTCAATACATGTCTTCAAATGTTGACAAATTAATTTTCCATCTTTAAACCTTTTATACCTTTCGAGATATCCTGTTAAACAAATAAAACAAAAATAATTAGTTATCGAAAACTATACTGACAAGCATCAACGCTCGTTTTTAGTTAGAACAACTAGGCCGTGGAATACTCTAGTTGATGAACTGAAACTTACGCTACGTTTACACTATACCGGATAGCTTTCCGTAGCGTTGGGAAAAAGCACCTATCCAATATGGGATGTTCAACTTTTTTTTAAACATTTTTTTTTTAATTTCGCCCATAATGATGAAATTACAAATTAAAGAAATAAACTATTTACAAGAAGTGGGCTAGGAGTCTACTAGAAACCATATGGTTTTTGTTTTAGATCCCTAGGTTATAATGTCGGAAACGTATATTTCTACTCGACTGTTTATTTTAAACTTAAATTCATAAAACTCTCACATTCGATTTACAAAATCTCTCACTATTTTGATTTTCTCTCATACCTGAGCCCCCGATCCTAGCGCCCGCGGGCTCTTCTGTTCGCAATACTTTATATAAGTCTTAATAACTATATGTAATGTCAATAATGTCTAAAATTATCTACACTCTCCCCCCATTTGATTCCGAAGGAAACAAATGTACAGTATGTTCTGTTCAATTAGTGTTCAAGTTCATCTTCTTCAGCAATACTTTTGATTCGTTCCTCCGCGGTTGCAGCTGCTCGTCTTTTCGGTCGAAACTCTCTCGCTTTCACATTCAAGGTTGCTTGTTTCTCTTCTGGCCCTACTGGCGGATTATCACATGTCAGTTCCATTGGGGCTAACTGCTGAATGGCGCGTTCCAAATAGGACTTCCCTGCTCTGAGTTTCGCAGCTCTTACTACACCGTCCTTTCCTTTTATAAGCTTAACTACAATACCGACATTCCACTTTCCACGATTCCGTTCGTCGTTTTGGATCAAAACTACGTCTTCTACTTTAACGCTTACTTCTTTCCCCCTTGTTGTTCAGATTGTGCCGTTCTCTCAGCCCGTTTATGTACTCTTTTGTCCATCGAGACCATACCGCGTCCTTGCACTTCGATAAATGCCTTGCTCGTTTCCTCAGCTCTACGCCTTCGACATCACTAGTTTCTTCTTCGAGAAGTAGGTTAGGTTGCATAAACAGCATTGAGTTTGGCGTTAGGGTAGGAAATTGAACATCGTCCTCGACATAGCCCAAAGGCCGATTGTTAACCGCTATTTCTACATCCCCATCGCAAATTAGCACGTCCGATGCTCTTGTATAGTGCTCTTTTTACCAGTCCCACCATCCTCTCAAACTGGCCTCCCCACCAAGGAGCCCTGCTCAGGTTGAACTGCCAAACGATATTTTGACGGGCGAGGAAGTTTTGAAACTGTTCTTGTTTCATTACCTTTCTTATCCAATTTGCTGCTGCTTTGAAGGTCTTTCCGTTATCCGAATAGATCTTCTTTGGTCTGCCCCTTCTCGCTACGAACCGCTTCAAGCTCCTGATACAATTTTCCGCCGTCTGATCCGGAAGAAGTTCCAAGTAAATGGCACGGGTTAGGCTGCAGGCGAACAAGAGAATGTACGCTTTGCCAATTCTTTTCTTGCTAGATCTATAGGTTATAGGACCAGCGTAGTCTATGCCCAGGACTTCGAATGGCACTGATCCGACTGTTCGATCTGTGGGTAAGGGTCCGACAGGAGGGTGATGAAATGTG